GTGAGTCCCCACGGTGGCACTGCAAGCCAGGAGGAGTTTTTTCCTTCAGTGGAACTTTCTCTGATGTGATTACATAGCCTGTTTTCTCTTTTGTATTTCTTACCAAAAATGTATATTCTTACATATATATGTAAGGACTGCCTTTGCCCCAAGAGTCACAGGGGAATAATATTTTCTGTGTGTTGTTTATTTTTACACAGTTAGCAAAACAATGTTCACATCTATGCTTTTAACTCTGCTAATGTAGCTATTATAATGTCAAATAAAATGTCACCGTGACTATGCCTAATTAGCATTACAAATTCAGTTGAAGAGATAAATGACCAGATCCTTTAGGGTGCAAGTTAGCCCAGCTCCAGGCGCTTGTGCTGCAAGATTTACAAGGATGGGTCTGCAGACTGATGAAATGGAGGCCTGGGAAATGCTGCATTAATGAAATGCAAACCATGTTTCAGCTGTTAAATGAACCTGCTCTCTCAGGTGTCTCAGGCAATGGGAAAAACTGCTCTGGCTGAGATACAAAAAGCAAATCAGTAGTTACAGTCTCTGCTGATGGACAGGAGAAGAGACACATCAGACTGTGTACAGTTTAGTGTTCCATGAATGGGTTGGGCCAGAGCCCACTGAAAGTCAGTGGAAAGACTGTCAGCATCTGATCCAAAGGCAGTTAGTAAGAAATTAAGGATTTGAGGCCTGTTCTTTATGTAAACAGTGAAGTCAGGTGATTGTGGCTGGTTTATAAAGCCGGAATTAGTGATGTCCAATAAAAATTAAGCACTCGTGGACATAGAAGATGTTTCTGCTAGTGGCACTGTGTAAACACATTACTAAAAACAGACAGCAATTAGCATTATTCAAATCAGGTTAAATTGTCTGTCTGTGTAGTTTGAAGAAAAACCGATGCAGATCACCAGTCTTCAATGGCAGCTTAAAGTCAAACTTAAAGACATTTAAACTGAATTTCCTTGTGAGCTTTAATTGTCATTTTAACTGAAATAGTCAAACTCTGCTAAAGTCAAAAAAGAAATTTGCCCAAGAACTTTAATAAGTGTGGAGCGGAGTTCAATACACAGGTGAAATCTCATACATCTCTGTTCTGTTATTACCATGAAGTTGTACACAACTAAATTATCATTTCAGTTGACAGAAACTTTCTCTGTGAAATTACATTGTCTCAGAAATTAGTACTGAACGATTTAATTAATAGTGTGTAGAAGTTCTTCATTAAAAAGCAGTAATTGTTGACTTTGAAGAGAGAAAAATCAACAAGAGATACGTAAAAGCATTAAGAACACAGTAATATCAAAGGCTGTCTACAGAAATGTGGCTTCTGTGTATTTTTCTTCAACTGCAACCTACATACAAATGGCATATAACTATCAAAATATAATTAGGAAGGCATTAAATCCAAACATCTCCAAAGAAGCATTCCCTTCCCTCAGTCCCAGTACAAAGGAAACATTGATTACTCTTCCTCTCCAACACCTACAGGGATGTTCTCATGGTGTGCAGGGAAAATTAGCTGAAACCTAAGCAGAAGTAATGCCTGGTGTGACTAAGTTTTATGTACGCTACTCTGTCAGAAAAATTCTGAAGACAGTTTTGCAGTCCAATACTCCTAGTAGAGAAAAGAGACTGCAGCTTTTCCAGGGCTGAATGTTTATCTTTCAAGCATCTTAGCAGAGAATTTAGCAGCTAATAAATCACAGTGATGATAAGTGCTTGTGTCAGTGCATCTGTGGGCACCTGAAGGTGATGGCTGAAGCACAGATGGTCTCACTTTGAGGAGCACTTCTACACGCAGGCTCAGTCCAAGCCAGGTTATCCCAAATAACACCGCTGTTCAGGAAGGAGGAGGAGTGTCTCAGCATGGGAATGGGCTGTTGGACCATGCTGACACATCCAGGTATGCTGCACATAGGACAGAGATCACAGTGCTGGAGCTCCTGAGGACTAATCCTGTGGCTGTTCTGTAGGAGAGTCCAGCCCTGCTCGTGAGAACTCCCAGTTAGGTGGAAACTGCCTTTACCTGCGTTGCTGAACAAAACTGCATCCATTTTCCTAGCCCTGAGGCAGAGTTCTACCATCTCTGGACTGTGTGTGCTTGGGGAGCCCAGGGTAGTGCCGAGTGATCCTCGGGTGTGGGTTTTCATCAGTTCAGAGTGCTTTAATACAGGAAGCATAGTTCTGTAGAAGAGCAGAAGCAGTCTCATATTTCTGAAACTCCACATGTGCACTGGGTTTGGCATGAGGACATAGTGATCTTCAGAGAGCTAAACCTGCTGGGTGAGCTGGAGAGACAGTGCTCACACAGTCTTATCCCTACTGGGATATTGTGGGTACTCTTATTCCCCAAATGTGCTGGGACCCTAACAGCCAGTGCAGGGTGTGAGAGGTGCCAAAACCAGACCCAGGACAGGGTAAGCTGTACAAAAGCTGCAGTTTGTTTTTTGCTTCCTGGGCTGCTTGATGCTGCAGTATGGACAAAGCTGTTACTGCAATCATCTGTCACTCTCTGCTTATTTTTCTGCATCTCGTAAATTTCTTTTGTTGATCCCTGAGCCCATCCTGTAATAGCCACAGTACTGTGCTTGAGATGTTATCCTTCTGAAATACTGAAGGTGTTTGCTGCTCCTTGCACAGGTATGGTCAGATTGTGTGCTGTCCTTTGGATGTGTACAGAGTATGTTCTGTGTATACTGAAAACATTTATTCTTACTGGCATTAGCACTTGAATTAACTAAAGCTTGCAGAGTTTTGCTGATGGGAGGTGAATCATTGTGTACAAAATATTTCCACCTCTCCCTAATCTTGGACAAAGAGGACGAGACAAATACTTTCTACTCCGATCTGTTTGCAGTGAGAGACTAACTGGAGTAAATTTACCTGATTATCTCATAACCTCAGAAAAAAAGTTTGTTGTGATTCAGTTTGCAGGGACTGGTTTACTCAAACCAGATTCCCTATGCGCAGTGCTTTATTTCCCTTCTGAACTTATCACATGTTTTAATTAGTAGGCAATGTTTTCCAGCTCAGAACTCAGAAATTCTGCACAGGTGAGCTCCTTGTGCACTGAATAACTTGTCCTTCATCAAAGAGTCATCCCTCTTGTGTCTTGCTGGCAGCACATGATGTGCACTGATTGTGGACAGTGATCTGTTTAATTCGTTTGTTCTTGCATCTTGGTAAAAAAAAAAAAAGGGCCACAGGTACCAAACCCAAGAGATAACAAAAAGATCTTAGAACATCTTCAATTACAGCATTCTTTTTATCAAGCTCTATATTTAAACTATCTGGAAAACAGACTATGAGTTCATGTAGCTGCAAATTAACACAATGAGGGCTTTCTGCTTATGACCAATACATAGCTCATCAGGGTTTGAGGTTTTTTTTTGTTTGGTTTTTTTTTTGGGGTTTTTTTTTTTTTGTGTGTGTGTGTGTGTGTGTTTTCAGCCCTTACATCTGTGTTGGAGAGCCCAGGGTTTTATTTAATAAAACTAATGTAAATTGACTCATTAGATGTTATTCTGAATTCAGAATGACATTTCTAAGATCCATACAAACTGGAGCCTGTTATTATCAGTAAAGTACTTTTAAAACCAAAATGACATTTTTTATTGACTTTGAAAAGGTTTGGTCCCTCACATAATACACATTAACTACTGAGGACATAAGAGAAGGATGAACAGACCTAAAGTGTTTAGTAACATAATGGATAAAAAGATAAAATACAGGTACCTGTGTAGGGTAATATACGATTTAAGTGGACATGAATACGGACGAATGCTGACATGAAGTCATAACGAAGGTCTCACAGACCAAAAGGTGCACTGGAACAGACATGACATTTTTTGGACAGTCACATGGCTGGAACTGAATGCTATGTAAAGTGATATGTATATGAATGTGTAAAGTGATACAACTTCTTTAGGAAAGCTAGAGGGAAGATTGTCAAGTTCTCAACTAAAAAGCAAAAGTTGGAGTAATATATAATATGCTAGCTGAAAGCCTGGTAGAAATTTTTGTAGGACAGAGAATTATTTCATAGCAAATGCCAAAAATTGCTTGGATTCTTTGACTTTTTTTCTTTCTTATTAAAACTGTAAATAAATATTTATTTTTAAGACCAGTGAGAGGAGATGAATGAGAGTAAGGGAAAAGAATGATAAAATAATAAGAACTACTCACCTTCAGAGAACAGAGGAGTCAGCCTCAAAGCCTCCTTCCTTTTCTGGAAAAGATAAAGCCAAGGGCAATGGTGTTGGGAAACATAATGGGTTAAGTTCTGTAATAACATCAATGACATGGAAAAAATGAGTATGAAATGCTTGTTTATCAAGTGTTTTCCAGCTCAGAAATCAGAGTCTGCATGTCTTAGCCTCTTATGCATTGAGTAACTTGTCCTGTGTTGTTGGCAGTACATGATGAGCCTTGATAGTAGACAGTGATCCATTCTGTTAGGTTACTCCTATGTCTGTAAAAAATCTTCCCAACTACACACACACACAAACACACACACACACACACACACACACACACACACACACACACACACAAGAGCTATAATTAAAATAATTGAGGAATTGTCTTTATTTTTTTATTGTTTACCAATGAATCTCTCAGCATCCATTTGTAAATGGGTCTGTAAATGGCCTGAACTTGAGGAGTAAGGAAATACCTTCTCATGTGCCTGTTAGGGGTGCAGGGAAATCTTTTCTTGAGAATGATTTGAAATCCAAAAGGACAAGTGGGTAGAAAGAAGAACATATTCTCAGAAATAGGCTCATTAATGACTGCTGCAGTTGAGTCAAACTAGCAGAGGAAACCCATGAATCACAGTCCGTTTAAGCTGGGTGGGTGTAAATTTTCCTGTTACTCACATAGTTCTGTTGATTGACAAGTGGTTCCTTTGAGCTAAGGGAGTGTATAGAAATTAATTAGACTCATTAAGTTGTGTCCAGTATATTTCTGATCACTGTCTTTCATTTTTATAACCACAGAACCCCCTCCACCTGCAGATGAGCTTAGAAAACTCACTGAGTTCTGATGCTGATGTCACTTTCTCGATCCTTGCGATGAACAACTGGTACAATTTCAGCCTGATGCTGTGCCAGGAGGAGTGGAACATCACAGATTTTCTCTTCCTCACGCAACAGAGCTCCAAGTTCCACCTGGGGTCCATTATAAACATCACAGCAAACCTCACGTCAACCAGTGACCTTCTGAACTACTTGCAGTTTTATCTGGAGAGCATCAAAGACACGACGTCGACCATGGTGATGTTTGGGTGTGACATGGAGAAAACGCGGAGGATTTTCGAGATAACCACGCAGTTTGGTGTGATGCCTCCAGAGCTGCACTGGATTATTGGGGATTCACGGAACGTGGAAGAGCTGAGGACAGAAGGTTTGCCCCTTGGTCTCATCGCTCACGGCAAGACAACTCAGTCAGTCTTTGAGCATTACGTGCAGGATGCCATGGAGCTGGTTGCCAGGGCTGTGGCAGCAGCTACCATGATCCAGCCTGAACTGGCTCTCATTCCAAGTACGATGAACTGCATGGACATGGAGGAGAGGAATATCACTTCAGGCCAGTATTTGTCAAAGTACGTTTTGCCTTTTTTTTTCCCCCTTAGGTAATATTTGCTGTACTGCAAGAAAAATAATTTTCTTCTCCCTCCCACATTCTCTGTGGGTTAGCTATCATGCTGCTTACCCTCCCTCACAAACATGTTTGTTTCAGTATTTCCTCCTGCTTCTTTACTTCTGGGCAGACAATGAAATTTTGACTTTGCCACACTGGGAGAGAAACCAGAACTTTGAGATTCTGGTAGAAGAAGACACTGCTCCACAGAAGTAGAGATCACATAGTAAACATAGGCTAGCTTACAGACTGTGCTCTGAAACTTGTATTTCTGTTTATTCATGTAAAGTGGGCTACTGTCAAATTCTCTGAGATTTTGAGTGTACACAACACAGAATATTTGCACTGTCTAAGTCCTTGGACAATATAAAGATGTGTAGTAACCCTTGATATTATGCTTCCATGGAAAAGAGAGGAAAAAGATGCACCTTCCTCTCCTCAGAGGGCTTCTTCTGGTGAGAGCACTCAAAAGTACAAAGTGCTACCTCTGCTGCATGTCACTCTATAGAAGCTATTCCCAAAATTACTTAGGTCTTCCTGTCTAGAAATATTATAGTTTTTAACATATGAGTGGAAAACTTGCATGGTTCTTTTTGAAAACAAGCAGAAATATCTTGGCTAACTACATTAATTCATCAGTTAATCTACATCCAACAACTGTTGCATGTTTTCCCCCCATTACATCTAGTTTTCAACTTAAAGATTTTCTTGGACAGAGTTAGGATAAAAGTTCTTGAGGGATTTTTTGAAAAACATATTTTTTTTTTATATGACTGCACAATAATGAATACATTATTAACAGCACTGCTCAAAACACAACCATTTGAGATGCCAACATTTCCTTAGTCCGCTTGTCCATTCAGAGTCAAAAACCCTCTGTTTCCAAAGAGTGGAAGATGACTTGGGAAATAAACACTGGATCAACTCACAATACACCAGTGACTTGTGATGTTTATTTTGCCACATTATTCTGGATATTTTAACTGAAAAGCAAAAGTCAGCAGGAGCCTTCTTAGAGTAACAAGAGGATAGCAGTTTTATGAATAGGCTTTTTGAGGTGTGAAGAAGAGATTTTAAAAAAGGGAAACGTAAGTAAAGCACTTAAATGTATTCTTGAAAAATAATTCATCATTGATGCTCTCTACAGAGAACCATTAGCTTTTGTTATATTTTGGGAGACAATATGTAATTTCACATCTGTGAAATTTCTTTTCCCTTCATATTGGTAAAGCTACTGTGGAAGTGAAAGAGAGACTTGCATGCTTAGCCTTGTTTTTTCCCCCTATACATTTGCTTGTGAACACTTATTAAAGAGAAAATAACAGGTTAGAGAAACCCTTGTCCTAAAGCAGTGCAGCTGTTTTTGCAGAGTGTGAGGCAGACAGGTACCTGACGGCCAGAACTGATGTGTTTGCATCAGCAGCATAACTATTAACTCTTAAGTGGTGCCTTTAATTTCTCAGGTGTGACACGCTGATGAGTGGCTTCACTGTGACCAACTTGGCCCATCTCACCAGGGTTTTTAGGCGTTTTTAGCCTCCAAAGATGAACATTTTGTCTGGTGCTTAACTGTTTTTTACTAATGAGTGCATTTTTCTGTCTGAGTGAACCCATGTGTCTTGGTGGGAAGCCTTGTAGCTGCTGTGCATGGGGATGGAGAAGGGGATGAGGTAGAAGAAGCAGTGCACAGACTTCCACCTTGCCTCTCTGCAAAGGGTGGATGAACCACAGCCCCATTCTCTGGCACAGCCAGAGTTTCTTCTGCCAGCACTGATCTCATACCTTGGCTGTGCAGACATTTAAGTGAACCCAGGAGCAGAATAATGAGCTAGTGCATGGCAAAGCATGCTTATATCTGCATGGATATGGGTATAGATGTACAACCCCCTGAAGACTTTACTGTTGTAAGTCACTGTCCATTATTCCTCTTACAATGAGATTGATTCCCTCATCTATTCTTGCCTGCTCACGGGAGCATCCTAGTTGATGGAACAAGGCATTAAAATTCCAAAGCTTCATCTTGTCTTATAGCTTTAATTAGTCTTACAGCTTTAACTCAGCTTCTTGGGTAATTTCATCAACCTGCTATTTCATAGATCCATAAAATCACAGAATGGTTTGGATTGGAAGGGACCTTAAATGTCACCTCATTCCACCCCCTCCTATGTGCAGGGACACCTTCCACTATCCCTGGTTGTTCCCAGCCCTGTCCAACCTGGTCTTGAGCACTTCCAGGGATGGGGCAGCCACAGCTGCTCTGGACAACCAGTGCCAGGGCCTCCCCACCCTCACAGGGAAGAACTTATTCCCAGTATCCCATGTAACTCTGTCCTTGGCAGTTTGAAGCCATTCCCTCTTGTCCTACCAGTAAGAAGGCCCTCCAGCTCTGTTAGAGTCCCTTTAGGGATTGCAAGGCTACTATAAGTTCTCCCTAGAACCTTATCTTTTTCCTTCCCAATTCTAGTTCTTGCCCATGTAAGCTTCCCAAAAAGAGAGGTGGAATGATCCAATCATCAAGATTGAGAGAAAACTATTTCATTAAGTCATTCTTAAATATACTTCAAAGATACTGCTGGGGAGTGATAGTACTGCTAAAGGTCTAAGGAACAGTTCTTGTAAAAAAGCACGTGAGAAACAAAGCTGAAATGAGCAAATTGCACACTTGGGACTCATTGTTCAAACTGAAGTGACTCTGATAAAGCTTTGATGCAGTTATCATAGACTGTCAGTGTGAACATAATCTCCCATATATTGACACAGCCTCAAGAAAATTCATTCAGCTGTCAGACTTGAGGATCTGGCCCTTCACCTTCTGAAATTTGTGCAGGCTGTCTTTCCATACAGATCTGTCAGTAGCCCTTCCGAAACAGTGCTGCTCAGACACTGCCAGTGTATTTGTGCAGTACCCAGCACTTGTAATTCCCAAAGATTCACACTGGAGATTTCTAGCTTAAGAAGTGTAGTCAGAGCCTCTTATCTGTTTCCTAAAGTTATTGAGTAAAGGAGTTTTCAGTTGAAGTTGCTGGCATGAGTTTCACTGGTGCTGCTCACAGTGCATGCAAATGCTCAGCAGCCGCAGCTGCTTACGTATAAAACAAAGTGTTGTTAAAATGCTTCTCCAGCATGGTTTCCATCATTTATTTTGATTCATGTTCTGTCACTGCAAAAGAATACAGAACATGCAAATCAGCTGCAAAGGTAAGACACTAACTCGATGAGGTGATGAAGTTGTACATTCAAATGGTGCTAAATCTCTCTCAGGTACCTGCTCCTAATAGAACCACTGAACAGGTACTGAGGGCTTGTTCTGCCCTCCTGGGGGTGCTTACTTCTACTGTGTGAGTCAGGGAACAGCGTGCATTAATTCCAGAAGTCTCCTTCCACCTTCAGAAAATTAATCAAATGCATTGCTCCGTGGTTTCAGTTACTCCCAAAAACACCTGCTTTGCAGCATTCTCATGCCCAGGTGATGCTTGTATTAGCAACATGGGGCCAAATTCATGAGAACATTGCAAGCTTATTCCATCTGAGGACTTGTCTCCCTCAGTTTTTGGCATTTCTGTGAACTGCTAAGTCTTTTGTGTACGTCTCCTAAAAAAATTTTCATGCAGGACCACCTACACACATGGAATGGTTTTACTGTTACTGTCACAGTGATGGCTTTGGCTCGTATGCCCAGCAAGGCTTCTAAAGAAGTTGCACAATTTTTTACAGAGACTGAGGGAGATAAAAGTAAGAGAGAGATAAAACCCAAACAAGTTTATGGTCACATAAACCTTCCTTTAGTGCTAAAGATTGCCTGCTCCCATAAACTTTGTCTTGATAGTGTTTACATACAAACAGGGAAGTTACACCATCAGATAGGAAGTATGGATTGGGAGGGAAGGAGTGGGCAAACAGTGGCAGATACCACTGATTAGTGGAGCTATGGTGTTATTTAATACTGGACTAAATGGTAAAGGATTTAAAATATGAAAACTGCATTTATAGTTTATATATGTTTATATTTATAAACACATGTCTGCCTTTTTAGGCATGATTTCCAGACCCAAGCTAGCACATGTACGGATCATCTGCTTTCGAGAGTATTGCCTGTGACATCTTTCTCCAAACTCAACCTAGTCAAAGAAGACTGAGCAAGAACTGATACTGCCTTAGAGAAGGCTATCACAGACACAACCACATTCAAAACTAAATTATTTACTTTCCGAAATTTACTTTTGCAAAGGGCTAAAATTTATATGACCTTGAGACTTAAACAGTGCAGTATTTTAACTGTTGAAACCCCATAAAAACATCAAAAGTCATCAAAACAAAGTGTAAAGGCTGGACAGAAGTATGGATGTACACACACTTGCAATTGATTTATCATTTTCAAATCAATTTAAGGTTATTTTTAATCCTCTGTAACTATTGATAAACAGTTAACTGTACTTAAAAATTTATGTCTTCCTTATTGAGGCTGGAATGACAGCCTTTATGCTTCTTCCAACACTTCTTTAATCCAATTCTCAGGATTAATGTGAAGTGCTATATTCTGCCACAACAGCAGAGTAGTCTGTCTTCTGAATGCCTCTTACTGAAAAAAAAATGTACACGACTTGCTTTGCACCATATTAGCAACAATTTAACTTGGTTGTTCTTAATGGAACCAGTGTTTTAAGGCTTGTGCAGCTGCTGCCAAATGCATAGCAGCTCTGCTGTTAGCAGGATGCAGTTCAGCTAGTCATGGTGCTCACACTGAAAAGGATTTTCTGCTTCAAACACTTAATTCCTACTGAGTTCTCAGCTCCTTTATCCATGTCGTTTTTAGCCTCTTTGATGATGGCTTGCCAGAAGCTGAATTCAACAGGCACAGGGGACAACTACTGGCCAACACCGCCTTCCAATACAAAGGAAATGTGCAACTTTATTGTCAGTATCTGGAATTCTCAATGCAAAATGTGCAGTGCAAACCGGCACACTTCATGAGTTCTGCTTCAATGGCAGCGCAGCACTTTTAAGAACATTACTTTTGCACATTTTTTTAAAAACCTGCTTTTTTTTTTTTTTTAAGAATTAAAACTGACTGTCCTAGAGCAACCATCTTTCACTTTCTTCCCTTACTTTTTTCTGAAGTGTCTAACAGTGATTTACCAATGCCAAATTTGCATTTTTGAATCCAGATTGGTTCGCTTGAGAGTGCTTGAAAGCTGTTGACAGCACTTCAGTAGCCCCTCTTATGTAAGCTAGATCTTACTGAGATTATAGCATTTTTCTTGGAAGGACATTTCATACATAATTTCCACTCTTCCATTTTCATATGTATTTTTATCTAGGAAAGTGACAGCAGATCTGGTGAGTTCAGCTTAGAAGTAACCTGTGTTTCATCAGCTTGTAAGGCAAAGGTAACTAAAAAAATTACAGTTCTTGTACTCATTTTTTCTAGTAAGTAAAAAAATACATATTTCCTGAGGAGTTTTCATTTGCATTAGATGTGTAGGGGAGCATCCCCATATAATTCAGTCATAAATTACGTGGCTGGTTTATTGTACCAGAGGATCTGTGTGCTATTAATGGTCCAGGTGTCCAGCAACATCCCCACCTACTCTATTCACCATAAATTCATGGTTCAGCTGTCTGCTTCTGATTCCCCTGCTTTCTCTCTCCAACAGGTTTTTAGCCAACACAACTTTTGATGGTCTCAGCGGCCACATTAAAGTTAAGGGCTCATCCATTGTCAGCTCAGAAAATAATTTCTTCATCTGGAATCTGCAGCATGACCCCATTGGAAACCCAATGTGGACACGCCTGGGGAGCTGGCAAGAAGGGAAGATCATCATGGACTATGGCATATGGCCAGAACAGGCACAGAGACATAAAAGTCACATGCAACACCCCACCCGACTGCACCTGAGGGTGGTGACTCTGATTGAACATCCCTTTGTCTTCACAAGGGATGTAGATGATGAAGGTCTTTGCCCAGCAGGGCAGCTTTGCCTGGACCCATTGACCAATGATTCAGGTGTGCTGGACAACCTGTTTGAAACCCTCCAAGGGGGCAATGACACTGTCCCCATTGAGCTGAAGAAGTGCTGCTATGGCTACTGCATTGACCTACTGGAGAAGCTGGCTGAGGATATGAATTTTGATTTTGACTTGTACATTGTTGGGGATGGAAAATACGGTGCCTGGAAGAATGGCCACTGGACAGGACTGGTGGGAGACCTTCTTGCTGGTACAGCTCACATGGCAGTCACATCATTCAGCATCAACACTGCCCGAAGCCAAGTGATTGATTTCACCAGCCCTTTCTTTTCAACCAGCTTGGGGATTTTGGTGAGGACCAAAGACACTGCAGCTCCTATTGGAGCCTTTATGTGGCCACTTCACTGGACTATGTGGCTGGGGATATTTGTTGCTCTTCACATCACAGCTGTATTCCTCACCTTGTATGAGTGGAAAAGTCCTTTTGGAATGACCCCTAGGGGAAGGAACAGGAACAAAGTGTTCTCTTTCTCCTCTGCCCTCAATGTCTGCTACGCAATCCTGTTTGGAAGAACAGCTGCCATCAAACCCCCAAAGTGCTGGACTGGAAGGTTTTTAATGAATCTCTGGGCTATTTTCTGCTTGTTTTGTCTGTCGACATACACAGCCAACCTAGCTGCTGTCATGGTGGGAGAGAAGATCTATGAAGAACTTTCTGGAATACATGACCCAAAGGTAAAGCATATCTGTTGTTATTAACTCAGCCTTTTCTTCTCTCCACTCAAAATTCACTGTTGCATAATATATGGTTTCTGACAAAATCAGAAAATAATCCTTGTGGAAAACTGTGATTACAATTACTTACAACCTGGTGGCATTTCAGTGAGATAGGACCTTTAAATACCCATAAGAGTGTAGGGGGAAGGATTTAGAAGATTGAAGGTGAGGAGAAAGGTGAAGTATTCTGGTACTGTCCACTGCAGAGAAGAATAGTGGGTTCTACATGCAGATTAAGGATTTGAGTTCAGGTCCATATTCCCTTTGATCGGACTTGTCTAAATCAGTTGGATGAGTCAGGCCATCCTGAGATCTACTGAAACAAAATAACTGCTCAGAACAAGATGAAACCATTGATCATCTCTAGGTAGAATTTTTCAAGTATTTCATTGGTCATAATGCTGCTGGAAAGGGAAGTGCTGGCAAAATTCCCCATGAATGCTAAATGAAATATAGCAGGACTGAATTATTTTGAAAAATCCTGCCTTTGCTTCAAAACAGTGGAAATCACTTTACAAGTAGCCAGGATTTGATTTGCAGTGCTGTTTCTGCTGGGAACCATCATGGGAGGAGGTGAGCAGTGTTGTAGACAATCCATCTGCAATGAGCTCAGACTTCCCAGAACTTCCTCCACCTGCTCTCTCCCTCTCACCAAGGGTCTTCAGTTGGAATTTAAGTCCAGTCCTTTTCTAAGACTATTCTTAATTTATTTGTCACTAAGTAGTGATCAGGAAAGCAAGGGGCAGAATGGCTTTTAGAGAGAATAGATGGCTCCAGGTGACACCAGAGCATTCTCTGCACCTGACAGTCACTCCAGGGGACACAATGGCAGCAGCAGATTTCCCTTGCTCATGTGGCACTTTCTGCAGTGAAGGTATGATTGTATTACCCACAGTTTTGGGCTCGTGACCTAACTGCTGGTACAGAGACCATCCACCGTGTGTTTGTCTCAAGGGACTGAAGTGATAGATTGTTCCACTATAAAAAAGTAACTTTAATAACACAAGAACAGGGCATACATCTTGCTTTTGTAAACCATGTGAATAAATGGTACATCTGCCCCTCCAGACAGCAAAGGCCAGGCTCCATCTGTTACATTAGTGAAACCTCACCGTCAGGCTGATGACCAGACAGTTTTAACTGTGCAAGTGCAGTGCCTGATTCACTCCCTGCAATGTTAACTAGATGGTTTCTACCAAAAATGTTTAAACAAAGAGCAGCAGTTTTGTGGCTGACCCAAGGCGCTCTAAAATTGATTTATGGCTTAAAGCAAATTGCTTCTAATAATCTTCAATTCCCTTCCAAACAAAAAATATCATAAATATTGCATTAATATCTTCATCAATGTAAGGCACAAAAGTCTATTATATATGATTTTCTCCAAGCATTCTGAAGAAGCAGATGAGACCTTCCAGCTGAATTTCCCCAGTGCCAGGGATATCTCTGTTACACTGTTGTGTGAAGCCACAGTGTTGGTTTGAAAATGAGGTTAGTTCTCTACTCTTTGCATGGGAATCTCCTCATCCATCGAATCAAATTGCATCAGATTACATCCTATTTTTCAGCATTATTGCTGTGAGCACATGCAGAGTTTTTAAAACAGGTGTTGGGAAATTTCTGCAGCTCCAAGGAAAATTAAATTATTCTAAAGCTGTGCTGTTGAAGCTTAGTGCAGAACATTGAAGCATGTCAGGTGCCTTAGACACAGATCTTGGTCTAGAACAGAAACACGGATGACTCCTGGTTAGTAGCCTCAGTGATTCCATAACATCAATGGGATTACTAGCCTTTCCTGGAAAAGCACTTTCCTGCTTTATGGAATAAATCTAAATCTCTGAGTAGTTACTAGCTCCCATTGTAGGAATAAGACAACACAGATTTTAAGAAAGAAGAAGATTGCCTGCCATCACATGAGCTGCAGAGTAGTTTTGTGTGTGTCATTCATGCATTTGCCTCCAAAGTCTTAGTCTGAAAGAGTAGCTGTAATAGAAAGTGCGCTGGTTTAACCTTGCTCACACAAGAGCCTGAGCTATGGTTATTCAAAGTTTTCTCTAAGAGTTAAAGCTTAAGTTTAGGAAATGTTTGGGCCACAGCAGTCACACACTTACAGGCACCACTTTAGTTAGTTACTTGCAGCATTTTTTATGTGACTAAAAGATGTTATGTTTGGGTTTTTCTTCCCAGATATGTTTACCTCTTTCTTTTTAGTGGTGGAGATTCATTTCAAAAAGAAGGCAGCAGGAGGGAGAAATAACATTTAATTTAAATATACTTCTAAATATCCTTCTACTGCTTTCAGTATGCATGTGCCCTTTGTACTGTGCTTTTGAAATTTATTTAAAAAACAAAGCCCAAAATAGACTAGCAGCTTTCTTGAGGTGATGTAAGACATGTAATTTCTTCAGGCTGTCAGCCATAAATGGCAAATCCCATCTAAGGTTGTGAGCAGTCAGGAAGGACAGAATTAGAGCTATTTCAGTTGGACCTTTAAATGCACTAATGATATAAAAGAGAATGTAGAAATATCGTCAAGCTGCTGAAAGGAGGAGCAGCCAGTGAGACAGAAACTAGAGCAGAAGGAAAGCAGTGTGAGGAATGAAAATTAATTTACAGGAATATGTCTTGAATTTGGGGAACTTGCCAAGTATTTTCTGTGTAAGAATCTTAACCAAGGCAGGCCACTAAAGCCGCACTCCTGCAGTGTCCATCAAAGGTGGCTGCCCCCTTTCCTATGAGGTACAACAGTAGCCATTAGGTTGTAGAGATCTTGAAGCAATGTCCTGCCACCTTAAAATCTAATTGTTCTAAGAAAATTGGCAGTTTTGGGCCAGAGCTGCCCCCTCCCCCCTCATTTTCTAACTGTACAGGTTTTAGACATCATCTCTTGCCAGTGGAAACTGGCAAATACAGCTTTTGTGTCCACTGGAACACGTTCAGCCTCCTGTTTGAGGACAAGGAGATAAGACAGCTACAGGATAAATGTGCTGGCTGCCAGATGGAACATGCATCCATGTCCTGAATCTCTCTTAAGAAGCTCTCTACAGTATACAGCAAAGAAGTTTAAAAGCTTGTCTACAGACAGACAACGTTGAGAAAAGGCATTGTATTTGTATAATTTAATTTACTTTTATCTCTTCTCTTGTCTGAATCATACTGGCTCATTTCACTTTTTCTCCTAATGTCACTTCTTAGGTTGCACAAAAATATTATACCATTATTCTTTGTCAGTGTGCCTGGCAGCCAGGTTCTCAACCAGAGCTGAGTTCTTTCCAAGGTTCAGATATTCCTCCCCAGGCATGCAGACCAGGAGCCTGCCTGGGGGATGGGCTGATCACAGAATCACAGAAGGTTTGTGTTGGAAGAGAGATTAAAAATCACCTGGTTCCACCCAGCTGCCATGGACAGGGATACCCTCCACCAGGTTGCTCACTCATATATATTTTACTCTTTATACAGCCACATGTAAGTCCTAGAAAGAAGATATTTTACTCTGCAGAACAACTCATGGCAGGTGATTCTGCAGGATCCCCCTGAGAGTGGAGTTTTTTTAGTGGCAAAGGGACCTGAATGGCTTTTCAGTTTTTCATGCAAGAACACATATTGGAGATACACCATGATGTCATGAGTGCGTTGGGTAATTCAGGATATTTGAGGCAAAAGAATTTTGGAAGCCCATAGGGCAGAAGAAATATTTCAAACATGCTAAAATGGAATCAAACAGCAGTAGAAGGGAGAGGAGCTGGGCAGATTTTCCATAAGGTAGTCCAACACCTGGCCTTCTGTCTGCAGAAGTGTTGTTCTTTCAACATTTAATGAGGGTTTTGGGTGGTATCTGCCCATTGTGACTTTTGTGACAGCTGATAGATTTTCTTTTCCATCTTTACTACACACTTGAGAAGCCATTTACTCTGGTTATGTTCTTACTGCTCTGCATCGGTTTACCTTCAAAAACACACCTTGGCAGTGGAAAAGTTCCTTTCTGCATTATATTTTGACATTAAATATTGAACCTATTTAGCTTCATTTAACAAAAAAAGGACTACTCCTTTGGGTCCCATCACCAGAAATTTCACTGCGTTTTCTCTCCTAACTTTACATGCCTGCAGTGAAGAGGTAAGATATTATTAGTCAGTCAACTATACTTTAACAGTTATATTTTGTACAGGTAGGCTGCTGTTAAGGCACTGGCTTCAGGACAAGATCACCTAAACCATTCCTTGGAAGTGCTTCCTTCTCTCTGCCATGAATGATGTGTTTTCAAAACTCACCAAAAAAAAAAAAGTGCCCCAAGAAATACACTGCAGACACCTACAGTCACTCTGGAAAGTTCCACCCAGCAAGTCCTTCAAACAGTCTTGGTGTGCATTGGGGTTAGTCCCCAGAAATCTCTGATTTTTCTCCTAGTTCAGTGCCTGAAGACTTGCTCTTGTGAGATGCCCGTATTTTTGTTACAATTTGTATCTAGATATATAAAATATGAGGGTGCAAGCTCTCAAGTCTGATTTATGAGCATCTCAGTTAATTTAGAGGCCTTATTATATCAGTTGAATACTTTGTGTTATTTGTATTAAAACTGTCCAGAAATATAACTGGCACACAACTGCAGATGAGCTTTAGCAATACCAAATTACAGAAAAAGAAAGGTCAAGCCACGCTACAGGTGGTCTCTCATTAGAGGCATGATTCAAATAATCCTTCTGATAATGATATTTGCCATTGAGTTCAGCAATTTTTAGAGTAAGGCCAGAATTGTTGTGTGTTTATTGGTAAATTTTCTTCCTGAAAAAGGAATTTTTATGGGAATTACACTAATGAAAATTACTGCTGTGGTCTTTCACTGCAGCAGCCTGAGATGAATCATTACAAGGGGCACCACTTGAACTGCAGTGTGTTATATAGATAATGAAGTAGCATGTATTTAAATATGCATTAAATGCTCTAAATTGTTTAGCAAAAAA